CTCAATAAAGTTGTTGATATGGTTTTGCTTATTTTTATTAAATATATAATTGTGTATCATGAAACTTTTCAGAAAATATAGGAAGGAAATCAACCAACCTGCCACAGATATTTATTTTATGCCCCATATGAATGCATTTTTATTTACAGCTGCTTCCTTATGTGTATTTATGCGGGCACACACACACATACACACACACTCCCCAAATGCAGTAATCTTCTTCGGAAGATTTTTTAAAAATATTTTGCTGAAACAACTGATACATAGTGGGTCGGTAAGATAGCTCAGTAGACTAAGTGCCTGCTTTGGCCAAACACAGGGACTGGGGTTCAATCCCCAGTCCCACATGCTGCATTAGCCCAACCCCTGGGGCACACTGAGCCAGCAACCGTGTCTGGGCATGGTGGTGCAAGCCTGTAATCCCAGCACTGGGGAGGTTGAAAACAGGAGGATCACTATGAGCCCAAGCTGTGTAGTAAGATTCTGTACCAAATACATAAATGAAAAACAAAAAATACACAATAATTGACACATAGTAATAAATATATTTGTGGAATAACATAGGCTGTTTAATAGATGGCATAGTGTTCAATCAGGGTAACATATGTATCTCCTTAAACACATCATTTTTTAAGATGAGCATAATCAAACTCTTTTCCCATAGCTCATTGTTTTTTTTTAAAAAAGGACATTAGTCTTATCTATAATCATCTTGTTGTACAAGAGAACACCAGAGCTGCTTTCTCCTATCAAAACATAACTTAGTACCATTGATCAGCCTTTCCCTAGTCATTCCTCATCCTGTGTTCCCCAGACACTGGTAACCATGATTCAGTTAGTTAAATCTCAGAATACACCACGAATAGTCTATTCCTGATTTGCTACCAATATTTAAGAACTGAAAATAATTTGCAAATATGATTGTGAAGATGCAGGAACAAATCAATAGAGCTGAAGACTGCTGAATTCTCCATTTTTAAAACTGTGCCAATGATGGATTCCTTCTATAAATAATTATTTATTTATTTATTTATTTATTTATTTGGTACAGGGTCTCACTCTGCAGCTTGGACTCATAGTGATCCTACTGTCTCACCATTCCCAGCAGTGGGATTACAGGCATTTGCCACTATGCCCAGTTTCAGTGCCTGGCTTGGCATGAGGCACACAGTTTATGTGGTAATAGGGGTAGAACCCTGGTCCTTGCACTTGCCAAGCAGGTACCTACACAGCTAAGCTATCTCTCCAGTCCAATTCTATTAATGACTTTGAAAATAACATTTTAAGGGTAATAGGCAAATTTCATTGTAACATAAAAGTAAATTTTAATAAAGAAAATACAAAAAGTACTCTTCTATGAAAAAAGCCAAAATTTATAACAAAATATTTAGAAAATGACAATAGTTAATACATTGTGTATCACACTCTTAGAAGAATGACGGAAATGTTATTCAGAGCTCAAGTCACAGATAAAAAAGACTTACAAAGAAGAAACAAACAGGTAAAAGCACAAACTTTTTCTTCAATGAACTAAGAAAAATGATGGCATAAATGAAAGAAATCCTATTAATCATATATATGGTTAGGTCAACAAGAAAAAACTTGCTGCCTCTCACCTGTCAGAACTGGTATTTCAACTGAAGAAAATTATTCTTTTCCCTAAACCTAAATAGTTAAATCCTGGGAAAAAAGAAAAGAAATTTAAAACAATAAAATAAAAAATAAAGGAAATATTATCAGGTTACCAGTCAATACCTTAAAACTTGAATGCATTTCCCCCATGTCTGTCCCATCATATGACAAGGGTTGTGTTCATTGTGCTCCTGCTGTCTCACAGCTGCACCCTCCCAATAGAATGTGTATATTCTTATCTAGGTTGTAGGATGTGTAAGTGTATGTATATGCATATGTTTATGTTTTAGAAGAAAGTGGAATGAACAGGGGTGATGAGGAGTGAGGTGTGTTTGTAAGAAATACACCTGACAAATGAGGTGTGGTGGTGCACACCTGTGTACCTAGCATTCAGGAGGCTGAGGCAGAGGGTTACTTCAGATGCAAGGCCAGCCTGGGATATATTGTGAATTTCAGGCCAGCCTGACTCCAAACCAAAAACCCATCTCAAAAACTATAACACGGGGGCCGGAGAGATAGCTCAGTAGAGTAAATGCTTGTCTGGCAAGCACAGGGTCCTGAGTTCAATCCCCGGTACCAGAAAAAAAACAAAAAAGTATAACGTGCAAAACAATACAAAATAAAAATAAGAAATACATCTCAATATCATGAGAAATGTAGTAAATTTTTTGTTTTGCACATCGATTCATAGATAACTATTTGGCTGTATTTCTAAGTGCAAAATACACAAATAAGTACAAAAAGGGTGAGAGACAGCCTTCCAGTTTCAAAGTACATATTATCTTTCTCCCATTCTAAATTCACACAAATAAAAGAACATGTATTTTAAAAAAATAAATGAAAATACAAACAGTACAGAAAGCAAGTCATTTAAAAGTAGGAGATAAAACAACAAATTACAGATGAGAATGATGTCAACATCTACACCTCTCTTGGGAAAGGTTTAATGGAGGAGGTGAGAGCAGGAACATAATCGTTCCACATATGGGAGGAATGGATCTAAGACTAGGAGGGGGACACAGAAGTCACCAAACACCACAAAGGGAAGAGTCAAAAGAGTCCCAGTCTCATGTTTCCATCATCCCATTCCTGTAAGACAAGCAATAGTATCCATTTTCACACAAACAGGATGGACACACTTCAAATAGGGCAGTGCACCAGAGTGCTATAGGGAAGTAACTCCCAGGTTAGTAGATGTGTTGAGTTCCATTCTCAGGACAGTAGAAAATGAACCCAAGGACAAAGGAGGGGACTACTAGGAAGAATTTTTAAAGATAAAGCTCCTGAGAGGCAGGAGGGGAGAAGTGGGTCACCGCTGGGGTTCTTTGGGGAGTTCCTACATAGCAAAATCATAATGCAGGTACCTTGGGTCAAACTATTATCAACATACAGAATTACAATACAGTCACCTAGCAAAGACGGATTCAACAGAAATATAGGGCAACCAGCAATGGTAGATTACACCAAAACAAAGGTATTTCTGAAGGAGGTAGGAGAGAGGGTCAGAATGCACTGGTCATGTGTGTTTGTCATGCTTATTTCTATGTATTTGATACATTGTTCAGGCTCTTTCCTTTTCCTTCTCACCAGGGAAACCGCAGTCCTAGCCATGGTTGTTTCTATGTTAAGGCCTCATTTCTGTCATCTCAGCCCTCAACTACAGGCCTGGTTTGCCTCACATCTCTGTTCAGAGTCTATCTTGGGGCTAGTCCCTTTCTCATCCTCTGTCAACATCTACCTACCTTAGCTATCTGCAAAAAGAACTGGAGACATTCAGACAAACCCAAAGCACTGTATACAGATCATTCATCCAGTTGCCTCACCAGGCACAACATTCTTATACCAGTTTAAAGAGGATGCAGTGATAGAAGTATTTCAGGAAGTGATGCCCTTCAATTTTCCAGCTCCAAAAAGGCGTAAAACCAGAGTTTATGAATGTTACATAATGAAATACACAGATACATGATGGTGAAATCTTAGAATAACAAATACAGAGAGGAAACCCCTGGCACTACTAGAGAGAAAAAACTATAGTCCTCACAGGAAAATAAGAACAAAATTGAGGTCCAGCTTTGTATCAGCACATTGCTTACAATGAAACAACTGGGCAAAACGTCAAGCTGCAAAAGCCTTTGAATGTGAAATTCCGTACCTAGTCATACTGTCATTAAGCAAAGCCATTTTCAGAGATAATAATAGCTGAGATTTTTTGTGGACTTGTCTTCTAGTTCTGAGCTCAGCTTAATATTACATGTTCAGTTCTGGTTTAGCCATATTCCAGATACTCATGGCTGCTCCTATCCTCTGGCACCATGCCAGTTGCTAAGATTGAATGTACTCATTATTTTCTCTGCTATTGAAGAAATTCTTTGGAAACTGCACTTTGTGCTGTTCATAACAGGTTTACATTTTTGCTATTTCCCTGTGCCTCCTAACTAATTTACAAAGGATGATATCTTAGATTTTAAATCCCTCGGATCCTTTTCTCTGGCCTGATTTTCATCCTGAGAGTCCATCCTTGTACCAATCCTGTGTGTCTGTCAGATTTGATTCCTGGTCTCTCCCAAAATGGTTCTTTCAAACAGCATTTAAACTTTGGTCAGGGTAGATTTAAGCTTTTCACAGAACACAAGATTATGTGTCATTTTAGAGTTTATGTCTAGTGTTCCTATAAGAAATCAGAAGGAACAAAGGTCATCTAGGCTTGGATTTAAATCCTAGCCCTGCAATTTACTAGTTCACTACCCCAGGGCAAGTTATACTAAACATACCTAAACCTATTTTTATAAAAAACCAAAAATATCTTTTTTTCCTCCAGGATGATTGTTCAAAACAATGTATTTAAGAGGCCACACAATTTTAGGCTGTCAACATGGATTTTCTCAATGTCTTCTCATAAATTTTGTAAACAAAGAAAGATCAATTCATTTAACCTTGGAAAATAATTTAATAAATAAAAATGTATTTTCTATAACATGAATAATAAGTTGAAATTAGTTGAATGCAGAGGGTTTTCATTTACTCTTGTGGCCATCTGCAAATTAACTACTTAAAAACAAATTATTAAATATTTATTAAATGTATAAACTATATAAAGACCAGTTAATGTCCTTATGCCATGCAGTCGTACAATGTTTATGGAACTAAACAATATATCAGAAAACTTGCATGCTATTTTACAATGAGAAATATTGTCAACCTAGTCAAGTAAACCATACTTTTCAAATTAAGCAGCATATTCTTTTGTAGAAGTCAAATCTATTGGGACAAATTATCAGAGTATTTGTTAGCACACATAATGTATAACACAGACATTAGTCATGCAATTTTAATGTACACAAAAATCTTCTTTCACAGTAAATATCTACCTGATAGTTTACGCAGAAGCTGGAGGTGGCCAAACTTCTCTTTTCCCCAGGAAGGTGTTTGTCTCTTACTGCTGGGGTTAGATTTTGAGTCTCCACTTGTTTCTGTCTTGTGTTTAGATAGCCTTTTGGCTGAATTGTTTTCTTCTAATTTATTGTTTCTTCAAATGTCTTATATTATTGGTCTGAGAATTATCTTTAAGAAGACTTGGATATAGACCAATTTACCAGCTTATCCCTCAAAGTTACATTCTTTCCAAATCAAGTATGTTACAAAAAATTTTAAAAAGTCCAATATGCTACCTGTATCTGGAAGTTCACACACACAAGCTCATATGCTCAATGTTGGCAAAATCCAAGCTGGCCAATCATGATGGTATAAAGATGGCCCTGAGTGATGGAGGGGCCTCACTACCAGCATCAGCATCTCACCACTTACAAGTGCAATAGGGTCTTCATAGCAGGGAATGTTGGGGAAGCAAATGAGATGATAGAGATGTACTAGCTTCTTTCATCCTTTCCAAGACTCAGACTTCTTGCTCTGTGGAAATAACACTAAGCTGCGTATCCTGGTGCCAGCATCTGCATACTCCTTCCATTCAGCTGGGGTAAGAAGAGGTGGTGTGGCAGTACATGCCCAAGGCCTGAGGAAGTTTGGAGATGACATTTGTCTCTAATAGGAAAAAAAAAAAGTTAACTTTTAAAATTCCATTTTGTGGTAACAGTGCTGGTTATAGCAGTGTGATCCTTAAATTCTAAGTAGTAGAAAATGGCACGTTGTTTTCTGCATTCTGAGGTGGAATGTGGGTGGGCCTTTTTACACTAGTACACAGATAGCTTTCCACTAGGAGTGAGTTCTGAATGGAGGAGAGTCACCTCAGGCAAGGTTGCAGAATTCTATACTTATATGTACCACATACTAATGCAAATTTGGTTTTTTAGCAAGGCTAAATCTCTGCAGAGGTGGAGAATTAAAATTAGATTTAGCCTGCTTAGTCTACTTAATACCTGAAATTACCATTTCATTCTTGGAAGTTGGTATGTTGATAAATTTTGCTGAAATACCTGTTTCCAGAGTATAGGAGATGAGATCATACCGTACATACCATTTCAACTTTCTTTTATCTCATCATCAACAAGCTCGAAGAGAAACTGTACTGAATTTGATGGAATGAGCAGACAATAGTGTCAACCTTCCCACCCATAGAAGTATTTTTTGAGGGTAAATGTTAATCAGTTTAACAATAACCCACAACCGTCCGACCAACTTGAGGGTAAACTGTGTGAACTTTTTTTTTCTTTTTTTGTAAGTATTTGGTACAGGGTGTACAGGGTGTTCAGGGTCTCACTACGGGTCAGACTTGTAGTGATCCTCCTGTTTTCCATCTCCCAAGCACTGGGATTATAGGTATGCACCACCACACCCAGTCTAAATCACCATCTCAGCATGTCCTGGGGGGCAGGGCTGGCATGGCACACCAGGGATTGAACCCAGGCCACTAAGTTCTAAGCAGGCACTTTAGTCTGCTGAGCTACCTGGCTACCCAATTGTGTAACTTCTGAGATTTTTGTAGTTGTTGTTTTTAATGTATATGGTACTGGGTCTCACTACATAGCTCAGACTCATAGTGATCCTCCTATTTTTAGCTTCCCCAGCATTGGGATTGCAGGTGTGCACCACCACACATGGATTTGGTTGTAGGCTCAGCACACCCCTGGGGGTGGGGCTGGCATTGCATGCGGTACTGGGATCAAACCCCGATCCCTGCGCTTGCTTAGCAGGTGCTTAGGCCACTGAGCTATCTTGCTGGCCCCTTCTGAGACTCTGAATAGACCATGGAGCCAGATCCTACAAATGGAGAGAATGTGGTATTTTCCCCTCATATAAATGAAATGACTTATACACTGTGTGTGTGTGTGTGTGTGTGAGAGAGAGAGAGAGAGAGAGAGAGATACAGAGACAGACAGAGACAGAGACAGAGACAGAGAGACAGAGAGTGCTGGCATATGGCCCATGGAGGTTTGTTGGCTTCTATGCACTCTGAAATGTAATTGCATGCTGGATTATGTTTACTTTTGGTAGCAGCTGTCTCCTAGTTCCATTTTGATTCATAAAAATATATAGTTTACTCACAGCAGTGCCTTTAAAAATCAATTACCAGTGTTGAATAATGGGCTGAGTGTGGTGGCACACACCTGCAATCCCAGCATTCTGGAGGCTGAGGCAGAAGATTGTCACAAATTTGAGGTCAGTCTGAAGGATACAGCAAGACCCTGTCTGAAAAACAAAACAAACAAGTGATGATTTTGTTTAAAAGCATGAATTTCAGAATTCTTTTGCCAAATCAATGTGGAAAAACTATCTTTGTGTAACTGTCAGGCTGGACCCTGAGGAGAAACTCAGACCACTAGGACAGGCATGATTGAGGCAAAGAGTGGTATCTTTATTTCCGACTGGGTAAGAAGGGTGAGAAGGCAATTGACCACAAACAAAGGAAAATAATCAGTTTTATCAATTAATGTAGGTATGGTAGGAGTGCCTTGCTGGGGGTGGTGACACCTGTGGGAAATACAGAATGACAGCATTTTTCTGACTTACAAAGTAGCATTCTACAGACTTATGGAGTTTCCTACAGCCTGAGAACCAGGCCTGGGAGCCATCCTGATAAACAGATATATTTTCATCTCTCAGGTTGGCTGAGGGGGGCTTTCCTCTTTGAACAGACTGGTCTGTAGAATTCTTTTCTCTTCAAGTGGGTATGAGCCTAATAGGACCTAACAGTAACCAGCATGACAAAATAGAACTCACAAGATTAGATTGTTTTCCCTTAAGGACAAGTGGAGGGTTATCTTCTCTTTGGAAAGAATTGCATAAATCACCATCTATATCCTATCTGTATCTGTATCTGTATCTGCATCTGTATCTGTATCTGTATTTATATCCTCCCCCAAACTCTCATGCACTCATAGGTGGGAATTTGAGGAAGTGAATGGATCATGGGTGTGTGATACCTGTATACTAATTCACTGGTGAGTTTATAGCTAAACGTGATTTGGGAAGTGAAGCCTCATTGCAGGAGATGGACTGCTGCAGGTGTGACTGGAAGAGTCACTTTCCCTCCATCTTTGATCTCTCTCTACCTCCTGCTGCCATGCCAAGGACTGTTTCTCCTCTGCCATGTTCTCTGCCATGCTGCCTTGCCTCAGAGATAGCCATCTAAGGACTGTACTCCTAAAAACTGTAAGCTAGTTGTGTTAATTGATACATTGTGTCAACTTGGCTGAATCAGCTCCAGCAGCATGGGGGCCTCGCCCTTCAGGTGGGCAGGGCCCAGGAACTGAGAAAGGCAGGAAGCAGCCCTGTCTGGTTTCCTGCTGCCCCACCCTGCTTCCCTGGAGAAGTCTCAGTCTTCCAAGGAGCTTGATCTCGGCAGCCACGCCACTTTGGAGGAGCTCCGATCTTGATCTTCACTGTGGAGCGCTGATCTTCGCAGTCAGTGCAGAGGGAAGAGAGAGGCTTGATGGACGCCGCTGCAGCTGCTGCTCCTCCTCTGCTCTTCATTGTTTTCTGCTGCATGAACTGCTGTTGTTTGCCTTGCAGCCAGCGGAATATGGACTGAACCCTCCAGTAACTGTGAGCTTAATAAACCTTTCCTTCTATCATTTTGAATGTTGGGTATTTGTCCCAGCAACGAGTAACAAGTAACTAAGACACTAGTGCTGGCCAAATAGCTCAGTAGATTAAAGTACCTGCAAGCAGGCGCAGGGGCCAGGGGTTGGATCCTCAGGCCTGCCATGCTGTCCCCACCCCCCCGGGGTGCACTGAGATGCCAACTGAGACTGGGCATGGTGGCGTGTGCCTGTAATCCAAGCTCTTGGGAGGCTGTAAACAGGAGGATCACTATGAGTCTCATCTAGTAGTGAGACCCTGAACACCCTGTAAATCCTTCCCTAAAAAAAAAAAAAAAAAAAAAAACTGTAAGCTGAAATACAACTCTCTCTCTTAGAGTTGTGGGGTTACATATTATATCTCAGCAAGGAGAAAGTAACTAAGAAATCATCCATGGCGGTGTGGTGTTTTAGTTTTGCTACCAAATCATTTTGAGATATACAACACCATGAAGATTTACAAAGACTGTCTGACTAAAAACATGGAAGAATAAAATTTCCATATGTTAATTTTGAAAAAAATCCATTATTTTTATATGATTAATTTTAAAACACTTTGTGATCATAAAAATACCTACAAACATCTTCTGATGATCAATTTTGTATGCTTCATATAGCATACCATAATAAAAAAGTGAAGCCAGTGAAGATATATGAGTTTTCACACAAGTGAAAATTCAACTTTATAAAACATTAAAAGCTCAACTTTATAAAATATTGTCCAATTGCTGTAAGACACATTACAAACAGTATTCCCAGCAGCAATACATAAGAGCTCCTGTGTCCCTGGTGCCAGAAATGGGTCCTGCAGGAATTCTTTCCAGGTTCTTGGTGTCCTGAACAAAACTGGACATTTACAAAAAAGCAGGGTGTAAATTTGCTGAAGATGGAAAAGAGGTGTGTTCTGCACAGTGACAGCTGTCCTGTGAGCAGACTCACAGTAGCCACAAGGGTAAGTAAAGGTTTTTTTTTTTTTTTTTGTATCTGGAATTAATGGATTGGGTTTTTCCTCATGTAAATATGGTACTGGGATGGTTGTCCTATCAAAAACTCACTTGGCATGGTGCTAAATTTAAACTGTTCTATTGAACACTGGCTTGGTTTTGGTCCAGATGTAAATGAAGAAATAAATGTAAATAACACTTTGCTGATTGGACCTGTGCTCAGTGCACAGATGGCTCCGAGGCATCCTGGGTGCTGCGTTCTGAGTACGTGCCCCGGGTCTCGAGGATGTTGACAGATTTCAGCCACCTACCTCATATCCGGGTTATTTTTCTCATTTATATTTCAGTAAATAAATGAAATATTGCCTGTCTTCACTCTGGTCGTAGCACACATGGAAAGTACTATATCAAAAATACTGGAAAAGCATTTGTATCATCAAGGCAATGCAGCAAATCTCACAAACTAAGTGCATAAGACATGGAATTAAATAGGATTTCTGATTATCATTTTTCTATAAAATGAGGTATTATCATGATAGTAAGTGGCTGGCTGGCTGGCTGGCTGGCTTTCTTTCTTTAAACAAGGCCTTGCTACATAGTCTAGGCTTTCCTTGAACTCACTATGGAGGCCAGGTTGAGCTTCAATTCGTGGCACTACTGCCTCAGCCTCCTCAGAGCTCAGATTACAGGTGTGTACCACCATGCTCACCCATTAAGTGCTGCTTTGATAGTCAGGCCTCAAGGCTTCTCTAAGATCTGGAGAATTTGTTACTTGGCTCCTGGTATGAGGTCAATATTTGACTTTTGGTCCAACTATCTCCCTATTCCTGTCACTATCAGGATTTAAAGAGATTATCTATGAATACCTTTGTGGTTGAACCATCTTACAAATTACTTGAATCAGGGAAAAAAGGAAGATGATACAGAGGAAGGCATAAGGAGAAATGGGTGTGATCATTCCCATTGATAATCTCAGCACTCAGGAGGCTGAGGCAGGAGAACTGTTTGAAAGCAGCCTATTGCAGAGACCATGTCTCAAAAATTAATCAAATCAGTCAATCAAATGAGGTCAGTGAGTCAGGACAATGTAGGGAGCTGCGTATAGCCGCGCCCTAGGATGGCGCCGGTTTCCGCCTTCCACCCCCTCAAGGGGTGAGCGCTCCTGGAGTAAACAACTCCATATATGGCCAAGGCTTGGGCTAATGCATTGCTTCCGCATACCTGGACCAATGGGCAGTACACACGTGGCACCCCATGGTTGGAAGCCCTGGGACTTATAAGCTAAGAGCAGGGGCCTCGGGAGGGAGAAGACGGAAGAGAAGACGGATGTAAGGGAACAATAAAGAGCTGCGCAGAAAACCAACCAGTGGTCGCGTGGTTCTTGCAGGCAAGGCCGCGCGCGACAGGACAAGACTGATATGAGATTGCTTCAGTCTACTAAAAACAGGACCAGAACAATTAGTAATCATTAAAGTCAGTGGTAAGATAGTTGTTTTCTCTAAACCTTACATGCCTAGAAGCCAGCCAAGTAGTAGTTCACTCTTGTCCATAAAAGAAACAAATAACCAAGTCTTTTTTCATTGGAAAATTCTTTTTCACCTGTCTCCTTGATGTTTATGTACAGATTTCTAGCCTTACTTCAGTCAAAGTAAGCTGTTTTATTTTATCATTCCTAGAAAGAAGTGCATTAATAATTTATGATTTGGATTTTTAAAATCATCTTAGCAATGCTTTTTAAATTTATTTATTTTGTTCACTTATTGGATACAGGGTCTCACTATGCAGCTCAGACCCATAGTGATCCTCCTGTCTCAACCTTCCCAGCAATGGAATTATAGGCATGCACCACCATGCTTGGTTTCAGTGGCTAGCTTGGCAGGACTGAGGTAGGGCTGGCATGGCATGTGGTACCCAGGATCGAAACTAGGGATTGAGCTCTGGTCCTTGTGCTCGCCAGGCAGGCACTTAGACTGCTGAGCTATCTCCCCAGCCCCTTAATGTCTTTAATAGAATAACTGCTAAATTCGCCTATGGATATACAAGCTTTTGTTAGGAATGACAAATGCTGAATGATATGCAGCAACTACTTTGAAAACAATTCTGCATATGTCCTTACACAAGCCTAGGGAAGCACACACGACTGTTTTAGGAAATATCCTATAGATATATACATTTTGTTCTTCTACCCAGTAAGTGATTTTAAAATAGTTTCATTTATATCACACAACATTCAAACAATACTCAGTTTTTGTGTGTTCTGTGCATGTGTGAGAGTCTGAGTCAGGGTCTCACTATATCATGTAGTTTAAGGAACCTTGAACTCATTACAGAGCCGATGTAGGCCTTGAATTTGCAGGGATTCTCCTGACTCAGCCTCCCAGGATTACAGGCAGGCATGTACTGCTATATCCAGTTCAATACTCAGTTTTTAATGAGACAGGAAAATCTTCTTCCAATAGACAACTACTAGCAAAGTTTAGAAATTAAATATTATTTAAGAATCATAGGCATATATAAACAGAAAAACAGAATTTACTTATTTGTACAGAAAAATTATATAACAGGCTCATTTTTCTTAAGTGTTTTTGTGCCCTGATCCTATCACTTAGGAAACAAAATTTA